CCAAAACTGGCAGAACACTTGACTTTGAGAATCACTACCTTTCTCAACAGCAAGTGCTCCGGAAGCTTGTTCCGAGAAGGTTCAAGATAGTGTAACCCATGTTGAAAATGCACTAGTATGGCAATCGAGTCAAATAGACCCAAGCATAACAGGAGGGGGTATCACAAATATTAAATATTTCAGTAATACTTTATGGAAATGAGTTCGGCTTTGAGGTCGTAAATATATTCGAAAAGTTAGGAAAAGTAAAAAAAATTCAGATTTTTTGGATGAAATGCATCGAAGTTACATCGGGGTTGAATGAGTGTTTCGGGTCAAATAGACCCGAACAGAATAGGAAGGTTAATTGAAGGGGACTCAATGAATTCCAAACTAAGAGAGAAGTCCATGTACAGGAGTGAGTATGGCAGTGGTGTATGTAATATCACCAAGAACAAGTCGTGCGCGACACAATGGGAAGACCTTTACCACACAAAAATCGATCCGTTCTTGTCATCTGTTATTGATTTTGTTGGAGAGATGAAGAGCGTTACTTGTGTGCCCAAGTTTGGTCTCGCCCGTACCTCCTGCATGGAGATTTTAAAAATATTACTGCATTTGTGAGGGGAGAAGAGGAGAGAATTGGGAAGGCTGGCACTTTCTGGGAACACTGTGGTGAGAAATTCGGGATGGAGATTGATATGGAACACGCTATGGCGGCTGAAAGACGGTTGGAAGGCAGATGTATATCTCACAAGGAAAAGGGGGAGAGATGTGATTGTGTCCTTGAGATCAGGAGGGGGTGTGTGGGGGGAGAGGTTGACGGGGTGAGGGAATGGGTGTGTGGGGGGAGTGGCGAGGAAGGGTTTAAAAGCGCTTGGGACTCTGTTAAGACTTCATAGAGCTCCCTCGGCTGCTGCTCTTGGTAGTCCGGCTTTGGGTGAGTCCTTATTGCATTGTTGTTATTTATGATGGTGCAAGTGCCTGTTTAGTTGTTTGCATTCGAAACACCATTTGGAGTGATACTGGTTTATTCTTGTAGCAATCGAAGAAATCGGGCGGTGTGTCCGGTGCGTACTTCCACCTGTGTTATGCCTATTGAAGCTAGCAAATCCTAGCAACTCTGCGTCACGCATCATCGGCATCGAGTGCGTCCTTCTTAAATTCACAAGCAAAATTGTATGAGTGGGTCTCCATTAATTTCAATTCGATTCGTCCGATTCAGCGTATTCCCGGAGATAACGGGACTGCTTTCTAACAGCGAGCTGTCGTCTCCTGCCCATGGGACGACCGATCCTGGATCGGAATGAGAAACCGCATCCTTCGGACAGAAGAGAGGAATGACTCTTCCCTGCTATCATCTTTTGCGTCGACGGAGGATCTGGAGCTCACCCAACGTGAGAGCCACGGGACCTGCCGAGGATTGAAAGTAATTCCCTCTGGTTCCATTCCCTCTGGCTTCTGCTGGTATGCTTTTGCCTCTTATTCACCAACATGTATTGGTAAATATTTACAAATATATGAGCTATCCACCCTGGTTCTGTTCATTTGTCTGAGTTTTTCTCTCAGACGGATCAAAACATCTTGGCGCTAAGCCTGCTTAATTGTCTGGCCTTGTGAAACGAACTCATGATGCATCAGGATCATGACCAAAAATTCGAAGAGCACGATGACCGGATTTCAACACTTGTGATTCGCGACTGGAGGAGGTGACCTCGGCTCGCATCGAGGATATTTCCATCACCGAGGAGACGATCGAATAGATAGAGAAGTTCAAATCCAAAACTGGATGCAATATTCCAGCTGGGGTCTTATCAGCGCCGCATAAAGCGGAAGAATAACGCGAGATGCCCTACTTACAACCGACCGACGAATGAGTTGAAACTGTTCAACGTCAGCCACAAATCGGTGTCATGTTCCTGATTTGGTTCGTCGCTGGGTACGTGTTCCGCTGCGTACGTCGCCGCTTTAGGACCTAATCACATGCGGAGTGTTTCAAGGCCACGATTTGCGAATGGCAAAGGCAAGTCTTGTACCATCCTCGTTCCACCGTGACATGATGAAGAAAATCAAACAGCGCCAAGTTAAACTCAGAGGAAGAAGAAGTCAAAACAGATGCGTATTTACTAGCTTGCCCTCGAGACAATTACCTAAGGGTGGTTCTAATTCGAATTCTCCAGGCGCCATGACAGAAGAGAGGCTTCTGACATACTAATAGGTTGGAATCATAGTCCGACTGACTGGTTCCAGTCGAAGATTAGACGGGGCGTCAGCACAGACTCTAGCAACTGCCGCCTGACTTGGGTTCAAATGGCTCATTTTGACTATTCTCGGACGAAAAACCCAACTGTAACTGCACTGAAGCTTAACTGCAACCGAACTGCCCTTTTGAAATCAATATTTTACCTACTTTCAAAGTGAACGTCAATATATAATCACTACGATGTGGCAAATTGTTTGAATTTAGGAACTTTCATAATCTCCCTGTGATATAAAATTCTAGTTCATTCGTACTTTTTATTCCCAAAAATAGCTAACACTTACAATAAAGTGCAATTCACGTTTGAAATACGAGGAGGTATCAAAAAACAAGCTTCCCTGATTTAATTATACGCAAATAATAAAAGTGCTTGAATAATTTTGGCAACGTCGCAGAGAAATAATTGATATACTGGAATTTGTTTATCTGTATGCATAATGCCTATACATATATACATAATGGTTGCTAAAATGAATCAGTTTAGCGCAAAAAAAAGAGAACCTTATTTTTTCATACCCCACATAAATTAGCAATACTTCCATGTCAGTCTTTCTCATAGGGCAATAATTACTTATAATTATTAGAGCACTGGACGAATTGGGGATTCAACATTGACCATCTCCTCACTCAGTCTTGGCTGGAAGGCTGATCCAGGAAGGTGACGCGCGTGTCTGACGCATTGATCGCCAAGGATGCACCTAATGTCTCGGGGCCTTCGTCCAATGTCTGAGAAACATTAAGAACACATGCTGGTGGCATGTACCTGGATTTCACCAGTAACTTAGGGGAACAATAGCGAATACAAATGCCTCCTATAGGAGCTGAAATGAGGATGGCCATGACAGCGATAGTGAGGATGTCCCGACCCCAATCGATGTGCTGAGGATTCGGGTCGTGCATCGCCAAGGCCGTATCGAGAGCGTTGGGGCCGATTGCTGCCTGCACCGTCGCCTTCGGTAACCAGGCAATCGCAGTGAATACCTTTTCCTTCATATTAAGATCCCCGCCTGAAACGGCAAGAAAAGCGGCACAACACCTGAAAATCAGGCCTCCACATATGACTATTAGGGCATATCCGACTGTGGTGACCCTGATTTGAACGAGGTCAATCTCAGTTCCGATCAAGCCAAAGAGGAGAGGCTGGAAGATGAGCCAAAGATAATTGAAATTGAGCGAGACGGGATTGTCATCCTGGTAGCCCTGCCGACGCCACCCAATGCTGGAAACAAACGCTAGCGATAGAACTCCCAAAGCGCCAGCTGAGTGCATCTCGATGAACATGCTTCCAAAATACGATGCAATTCCACCGATTAACAACATTATGGAACGGACTTCCGTAACGGCAAAACTGTCTTTATGATTCGGGACGAACCAAAAAATGACCCCAAGGATGATGCCATAGAGAAGCCCAACAATTATTTCAGCAAACGGCATGAATATCTTCTTAATAATTGAGCCCTGGGAGAAGGTGACACCGAGGAAGACAACAAAAGCGGAAATTGCGAGAACGTCATCCATAGACGAGGCTGCAAGCAACAACGTCGGGATCCCCTTGTCGACGCCATAGCCCTCTTCTTGGATTCTAAGCATGCATGGAACGACTATGGCAGGGGAGACTGCAGCTAATGCGAACCCCAACATGAAACCCCATGTCCAGGGCAGCTCAAGAATGAAATATGAGAAGCAAGCTACCGCGATTGCCTCGACGGTGCAGGGCACAAATGCCAGTCGGGTAACCATCAGACTCAAGCGTCTCAGTTGCTCAGGATTCAGTCCGAGTCCAGCACGTATGAGAATGACTACTAAGGCGATACCGCGAATTTTCCCAGACCATCCCGGCTGAAGAGGGTGTTCCATCCAACCGGTTTGGCGCTCCAGGTTACCTAAAAGTATGCCAACCAACAACATTCCTAGGAGACCTGGGAGCCGGATGATCTCCATGAACCATCCACCAAGAAGACAAGCGAAGAACACGATGTAGAGCTTGAAAAGATTCCCATTGAGGAGCATCTCGCTACCCGTGAGACCGTATCCAGCCAGCCAGAAGAGTGGGAGTGCCAGCAAGAAGGTACACACGCGTCCCAGCTTGACTCCAGGCGGGCACGGCAGGTTTCGACGGAAGCGTTCCCATCTGGTGGCCTCTGGAGGGAGTTCTCTTTCGTCACGAAGCAAGAATGGGCACCGGGTTGACGTTTTCTCGTCGTCGTCATCCTGCTTCGATGCGGACGGTCGAAGCGGATCTTGCATCGAGGTGTCGAGGGAGAGTCTGACGAGGGAGGTCCGTGCCCTCAACAGAATGGCAGTTTCGGGGCGAAGGACGTCTTTCGGGGCATGGCAACGTTTTCACTTCCTGGGCGGGTGGTCCACAGATGAGCCTAGAAAGGCACGATTTCAATGATTTTCCTCGCAATGAGCAGCATATACGGGACACCATGCGAAATACGGGATATCCTACCCTGAGGAAATACTGTATTCAACAATGTCTTGAATCAGAACGATGTACGAGTAAAACTACACCTTTCCACGAAAGAAGCTGAGTAGTAGTATATTCTCCATTAATCGATCGGCATCCGTAGACATACTTGTACGCATCTCGTGTCATTCCGCCCAGCCTACGGCCTATATGTGCATCGGTTTGTAGGCATTGCGCGGTGGGCTAAAGTAGCTGGGTGTTAGGGAAGGCCGGGCGAAAAGTCTCCGGTTGCGAATGGATTAAGAAAGAAATCGCTTGGAATCCTGAGCCCCCTTCGAAGCCCGACGAAGCTACGCATGATCTTCTTCTCTCTTTCGCAATTCCCCTAAGTAGCCCTTCGTGGCCATCACTTCCCTTCTGGATTTTTCATCTTTGGCGGGAACAGATGCAGACACGACTGACAGGCTTGGACGTCGCAGGAAGGCGTAAAGAAATAAAATAGGGGAAAAAACGTTCCCATCGTCCTAGGTCCGTTCCGATGTGGGTTCTCATACCAGACACTCATTCAGTACCTCACGCGTGCGCATATCGCCGACAGCTTTCTTAGGGTGTCCACACGAAATCATAATTGCAACTCTATCGAGGTATGAACCCGGTGTTTGCAACATCGGCTAAGTAGCAGCTGCAACCATCTCACAACTGACGCCCGTTGACTACGTACTAACTATTAGTTATTACTAACAATTAACGACCCCGACTTCTCCGTGCATTAAATCTCGGGGAAGCATCCGCAACGGCATCGAGAAAGGGACTACTTTGTGGCAGGAAACTCGATGCAAATCGCTTGCTTACGCCCGTGCTCACCCTATCTCCCATCCCCCGCCGAATCAGTCCTCTGAGATTCATCTCAGTATCTCTTCCCGTCGGCGAAGATGTATCCACGATACGGCATATTCTGTCGTTGCCATCTCCGCAACGACTCGTGGCATGAACGAGGGGTGCCCAAAAATCGACCGAACGTAGAGGATTTCGTTACCAGGCCGCTCCGACACATGCCCTTCGTGCCGTGCCGATGCGCGTGGCTTACGAGACCCTGCCTAGCCGGAAGGACCCACGGTCATACGAATCGGCCATCCTGTTGGGTTTTCGTTTTGGCGAGAGAATGACGGGTCCGTCATCCACTTACCTGCTGTCCGATGATGGAGGATCGATCGAGTAGGAGGAAAAAGAGAAAGCTAATGGGATCCCGGTGCCACGTGGCCCGCAGTATCGGGGCTCAGAAGTCGTTGTCGGGTGACCGCGCTTTCTTGTCCAAGCTTGCAACGGCTGGGTTTCTTTGTGCTCGGTAAATGTCGCGTTTTTAAGTGAGCCTTGTAGCTCTCTTGGTTGGGAGTGTACGTGATTTCTCAAATGAACATCGTTTGGAAGTTCCCGACTTATTGCTCATCGCGTATCACGGGGCTGTAGTAAGGAAAACGTTATCTATGGAGTTTTCCCTGCTTAACTTACCGATTATTATAAATGTTGGAAGGCATTAACGAAAACATGCGCTTCTGCGGCGCATGTCTTTCATTGATGAATGTATTCCATGCCAATAAATGCCACGAGGCCTCATGGCAATACTTACGAACTTGGGTATAGTATCATCGTCCAGTAGGCGTGAGTGATGCCTACAAGGCAGTGTCGTTCTAAGCCGTAGGCAATGTCGCAAGTAATTACGTGCACTATTAACCTCTTCGTGACGATAACCATATCGGCACGCACCGTTCCGCGTTCTTCCCCCCTGGCCTATCGGCCGGATAGGCGAAGTCCAGTACGCATCGCGCGTCCGGCTTGGGCGGCAGGTGTGTAGTGCCGTTGTACCCGTTGCCGACAGTCCGCCGGGGTCGCACTGTCGGCCGGGTTGCCAGCCGCTGATGCCCGCGCCCAAAGTAAGGGCCAAACGAAATAACTTGAGCTTGTGAACACGGCTATGCGTCTGCCCTGGTGTTTACCTCAAAGTCACTCCCTCCGGCCTCTCCCGGGCAAATAGATGGACCAGGTCATATTTCAGCTCCAGTGTGGGAATTGGCGAAGGAAAATAGCGGTAAAGAAGGGAAATCATTGCGCCTTCCTTTCATGTTATGCTTTTGCTAGGGATGTGCTGTTTTTGAAACACCTTTGAAACTATAAGGGAATTTGATGTTTCCTTCATCTGCAGACCACGATCGGAATTAGCCAACGAATTTGTGATGAAAATCAGCCATCGGTCCGCCGGCCAAATGTGGCCATCGGTACAGCCATAATTAAAAGACACGCCCTCAAAAGACATTACTCTTTAGCTAACAATTCCGGCTCCGATCACCGGGACACTCATTCATATATTTTCGGGATTCATTTTTCTTGGTATTTTTTATCTTTACGGTTTTTTAAAACTCATTTTAAATTTAGATCTCAACATGAGATTCATTTTTTAAGGGCGTCATCTCCACGTTCTTGAAAGAGACTATTTCGTAGCTTTGGTTTACAGACCAAACATTTGCACGAGGCCTCGGAGAGCGTTCCTAAAATCATTCAATCGTGAACAGTGATATAAGTAAGTACGCGTGTGGTCTTTATAAACCATTCATTGCTACCTGAGTTATTATCTGTTAGGTTTCTTCTGTAAAGGTGTGAGCTACTTTCCTGTTCAAACGACACAACAAAAAACCCTAGAAATTCCATCAGCCGTGGCTTCCGTTGATTGGTACTATGTGAATAAAAGTGAATGTCCATTCGTGACAATGAGGAAAATATTAAGTCGGCAATGGGCGGCTATTATGCAGGACGCAAGGCTGAGACTAGTCGCGGGCGTTGGCCGATTGGGAAGGCCGTTGTCCAAGCCGGCGCTATATTATCGAGGGACGCAATGTTGTGGGCAATGTAGGCCTACATTATGTGTGGGAGGGCATTTAGTTTTATGCCTAAAGTGCATTGGACGATTTTTCGAGAGGCGAATTTAAGATCCTTCCTTTTTCGCCTGTAATTCACATGAAAAAAACGGAAATTGGCAGAGGGAAAACGCTGGAGTACGACCACGGTCCGCTTTGCGGGACTCGGTGCGGGAACCAGCTGTGATTGCATCGGAGGCCTCTACGAGAGCGCGGGCCAATACCGCGGTCCTGCGGAGTATTCTGGAAGGCTTCCACCCGCTTCCACCCCATTCCGTTGAGGAGCCGGCCTCTCCCCCTCTCTCCATCGATCCGTGATCCCTTGTGTCTACCTAGCCTCAGCCGCCCCGCATTCCTCTCCTTTTTCCTCTTGTCTTCCCCGTGGCTTCATCTTCACTCCTTATTTCCCATTCCCAGTAATCAATGCACAATTTTTCAATGAGCTCGAAACATTATACTTCCGAAGGAGCTTCGCAGATGTCGGGGTGCCTAATCTTAAAATGAGTGCAGAGGTCTTGATATGGACGACCTTCATATTTTCAGACCCCCCCAAACCAAATACCGTAAATTTCTCTCAGGGAGGTACATTAGACAAGCGACTCACAGTCTTCGACGCTCGCCGTCTTTTCCATCGTTCCCCGTCTTCCACTGAAGTATGCAGACGAGCGGCACACTCGGCTACATGAGGCATGCTTCTCGCGGGCGCATGCGCACTAGGCGTTCACGCATGGAGCTCAGGAATCCGAATTGGAGTCAAAGCGTGAGCAGTAGGCGTTCCTGTGGGTTGGCGTCAGTCACCGCTTCCCGTTTTCCTGTGAATCAAACTCCAGTCTTTTCTAATATACCTTTTTTGACGATTCTCGGGCCTTCCTGCAATGGAGCTAACACGCAGCCCCGAATGGTGCGGGATGGATCCAATGCATGGGATGATGGATATATGGGGAGCAAGCGGGCCAAACGATGAGCTAGGGAGAGCATAACAGTTCCGACTGTCGACTTCTGGCCTGTCTAGGAGCTTACGTTTCCTCTTTTGTCTTTCTTCTGTAGGCACATGCATGTTTCGATTCCATTCTTGATACATTAGGGATGGCGCAGCTGCGATGGAGAGATGTGCAGATGAACATGCTCATTAATGCATGACCGAATAGAAATTTCAGTTTGTCAGCTCGCCAGATTAAGGGTCGGCCCTTCTCATGGACTTTTGCACCGCCAGACGATGGAGTCAGGTCTCATACGTGTTGCGTTTGCTGAATTTTTGGATGAACTTAGTGCTATCATCGTACCGGAAAATGGATTAATTTTTGTGTTGGACAATGCTCAAGTGCACAAAAGGGACATTCCTCGACACAGGGAAGACTCTTACGAGATATCGATGCCAAATTAAAAAAAATATATGTGGAGTCAATATGCAACGTGAATATTGGATGCCTCATGCAGGCATGCATACGAGTATTCTTCATCAGACATCAATACGGCTTTGGCCAGAAATCCCTAGGAATGAAGGCATTTCGCTTTTCGGTCTCCTGCCGTCCGCATTTTTACTTATCCTCGTGTTATGATTTGGCCTCGTAGTCTCTTGGTGCCTCTGTCGAGACTATAGGAAGTTGAACGGAGATTCAACGGCTTAAACTCGCCCCTCCTCGTCCTGCTCACCATTCCTTCATGAGCCCCTGCGTGCTCCTTCGAGCATGCGGGTTGCCTGAATGGCAGGTATGCCTGAGAATCACCTGAAAAAGGCATATCAGGATGGAGGTGTATGAGCCGACTTCAAGAAATCGGTTACCGGCGGAATGGAAACACTAATCAAATAGAGGACATTTAATAACCTCACCAGGAAAGACCGTAGTGAGTAATTTGTCTTGAATGTCGGCAAGTTCTTGCATGAGACATCATTTGAGAAATTATTACCCAATCTTCCATCGTCC